TACAGTACACACACACATCCACGCACACACACAGCTTTATCTGTGGCACGAACAAAATGCCACGCACAAGAGAAAAAAAAATATGCTACAGTTGGGCCAGAGACTGAATTCCAGCAAATTGATTATTAACCCAGATATTCATTGAGACATTACCATTTTCTGACATTTGTGCAAGAGGCAAGGTGAATGCATACATATTAAAATGTTCACATTTAATGGGAAGGACCACACTTAATGGCAGTCTAAAATGGAACCCATTTTTTCAAGTATTTGTTTACAGATTTCTTTTCCCAAGAACATTTTAAGCTATTTAGAACAGTAAAGTAGTCCCCACCCCATTGTGCTACATGTCTCCTTAGCTCCAAACAAAAGAAATGTAATGACCAGCACTTTCCTTTGTTTTTGTTTGGTTGCGCTCAGCAAGTACACAAAGTCTTGCTATAGCTACATGTGGCAAAGACACAGATGTTGCTGAAGTAAAGACAGTTTCTTTGGCCACTTTGTTCTCTGTAATTACAAGCAAGTCTCTGTCTTACGTGTCTACCACAACATCATCTCACAACCTGTACAGGTCAATACCACACTCATTTTTAGGACAGATGTCCTAGTAACTGTATTTGTTCAGTGGTCTGACTGACGTTGTCTGAGGAACAAATGAGGGTTTTGGTGGCACATCAGGTTTTAAGGAGGGTGTCCTCTTTATTCCTGTACGAGGAAGGGTGCCATTGCTCGTGTAACTGCTTTGCCGGGACAAAGAAGGCTGGAGGTGAACACTGACAGGTGTCCCTTGAATGTAGTCCATCTTTGTGCCCGCTGTGGGAGTCACATACCCCCCCCGATTAATACTGGGCTGTCTGGATAACAAAACACCGTTTGGTGAGTTTAAGTTTTTAGGAAGGGCAGATATTGAATGCCTTTGTGAAGAATTTTTGTGATAACCTCTCTGCCTTTCCAAAGAGGTCATTGGTACTGCAGGCGTGGTGGGAACATCCACCCGTTTTGTGGGGCTGTTTCGTGGAAGAGTTGATGGAGGAGAGTACAAAGATGCCTCCCTGTTGGGAACTTTAGGTGGGATCTCAGACATATTTCCCATTGGATCCAGCATTAAAGTCTGGTGGGCCACTTGGATATCTCCCATAATTGCTTTGGAATTACTAGTAGTTTCATTTAAGTGTTTCAGGAAATCATTCAGGGTGTTCCTGGAATCAACAGATCTCCTGTGGTCTCTTTTGCTGGATGGTTTTGTAAGTGGATGATCAATATGTTGCATCTTTTTGTCTGCCTTGTGCGCGTTAGAATTGGAGAAAGATGTATTGTAATCATGAGTAGCGTTGGGAAGAACAATAGCACTAGGGATATGTCCATGACTTAGAGGAGAGTGGGGTGGAGGACTGGAAGGAAAAAACTGCGGGCTTTTTAGTGGGGTTTCCTTTCGTGAAGCATTGAGATTACTATGTGCTTTCTCCGACTGACTTTTCATGGCCTGCAGAGTCTTTTGTTGAAGAACTGGTGTAGATTCAGGAGTTGGAAGTGCAGCTAATTCTGGAGGCTGGCCCCTGTGGTCCATCATCATGGACTTCGTATCCCCATTTGGTGGCAATTCCTTTCTGCTAGTTAACAGGTTTGTGTAGAGTTTGGGTGAATCAATGTTTTGTTGATATTCCTTGACGGGACTATCGAACAACCCATTCAGCTTAGCAAAGCTCCCACTGGAGTCAGTACAGGACTGAGCAGATTCTGCATCTTTGTGTATTTTTCTGGATTTTCGTACGAATGCATCCCGATAACAGTAAACGGCCACTCCCGCAATAAAGGCTCCCAGGACAAAAGCAGCAAAGACACAAGTGATTAGGACATTCATGTGTACCATTTGGTTGGACTCTCCTGATTGCACTTCCCACCTCACACCTGCAAAAGACATGAAGTGTATCATAAATTTACATGTACTTCATACTGATCCATTTCAGAAGATGTTAGTCTGCCTCAGGGAAGGACAGCAGTGTCTATTAAGTGTTTTCAAGTGCTCTGTGCCTACTGTTAGTGTAAATCTGCAATCCACAGCACTGGTGAATGCAAATAATTTTATAAATAAAAAGGACGGAGTTAGCATTGATCAGCCTAAACAAAGACTGTCCCTTTTCTTTGATAATGAAGAATACTTGTCAGAGCTTCACTCCTCATATTACATTTGGCTGTACACTGTATGCTATTGGTTTAGCCTGTCCCCAAATTTCCTTTAAGACTCACAAATAGGGGCCTGTATGCTATTAACATTAACGATTTCTGCTGGAAAATTGAGGTTAGAAGGTGCTACTGGGCCAGACAGCAATTAATAACTCAAGGATGAAGCTCCCTCTCAATTTTCTGCCCAACTCATAAATCAGTATCAAAAGAGAGACAGGATTATGCAAATGTTGTGTAGAACTGTATAATGTACATACTGCATTGTTTAAACCACGTCAATACAATCTGATGCAAAACTTGTAAACTAATATATCTACAGCTTGCTAGCCTTGGAGTAGCATACTTCGCATTATGTAAGCATACAGTTTTCAAAGTTAAAGATTACAGCATTCTATTAAAGCACTAATTTTTCTTTTCTGCTTGTAGTCAATAATGAACTTACATAATACTTGCATACCATTAAAAAAACACTCCTTGCAAGGTTAAGTTATTACATAATGTTAAAATTTAGAAAACTTTTTGTTAAGACAAAGTTGAATACTGGATTTGCTTGTGATTCATGTATTAACCAGCTCCCTTTGTTTCTTGAGACTTTTAAAGCAACCACAGACATCTTGCAGCTGAGACAATGTTAGTTTTTAATGAAAGTAATTCTGTTAACTATCCCAAGGGATGTTAAAATGAAAGAGCAAGAGTGAAGGAACAGGTTCGTTTTTGTTAGAGGCAAGGCCTTTGAACATCGTTAATGTTCAGGGTTATAGGTTTTAATGGCACTGTGCAGAAAAAGAAAGAAAATAAATAAAGTTCACTAATAGCTATGACACAAAATATGATTCAGAACCAAGAGCAAATGATAACAAAAAACTTAAAGCAAAATGGAAAATAACTGCAACAAATTAAAATGACAAATGCACTGCCATAATGGCTGATAGGAAACCTGATATGTTTTGGTGAATGGTAATAAAATAGAAATGTTTTTTTGGCTGGTGAGATTTTTCAGTAAATACAGAATTGTGCAAACATGTCTGTCAGCCAGCTATTCTGTGTACTGATGAAGACTTAAGTTTTGTTTATGGGGCTGGAAGCTTCTTGAGCCTTTGGTTGACTGCAATAGTCCTGCTGAATTGAAATCTTTGTTGCTGTTAGAGCCTAATCAAAGGTTCACTTAGCTGAAAGAATGGCTACAGAAAAGATGAATTACAGGCCATACATGTTTCTTTCTGTGTTCAGATTAAAAACTACCTCTGTGTCTCCATGTACTGAGACCTTTTTTAAAACCAACCCTCATATCCAGAGAATAAAAATTCAGCACATCCTTACTCAGATCTGACCACATTCTTCACAAACGTGCTGCTGGCAGCAGTTTGGGATATGCCCCACTTAAAGCTCCATATCATGGAGCTGTGTTTTGCTTTGTTCCTGCCCCTGCCCGCTGCAAAACCAAAATAACAAAAAAACCCTGCCATTAAGCTCTTGTAAGCAACCATTCATGAGGACTAATAGTCTTATCCAAACTAGACTCATTTGAAAACAACCACCAGAGGTGCAGATAAGTCCTGAATTTAATTTTTTTAATGCATCCAGAACTCCCACTGATTTTAATGGGAGCTTTGGAGCACCCCAGGAATAAAAGGCCGAGCTTATTATCTGTGTTTCCCATTATAAGCTCTAAGCAGCACTTTGAACGCTGGTTAAATAGGTACGAGAATCATGATTGCACTGTCTGCATATTCACAGGAAATGGGTGTAAAATATAGCCCAACAATCACTGCTGTTACACTTAAACCTTAGAAAATGCTGAGACTATCAGGTTTCCATTCAGCTGCAATGTATTCCCTGGTAAGGCCTTACCCTTTGGGACACCTGATAATGGATCAGAATAATCAGAAGTGTTTGGGTCATCTTGAACTACAAATTTCCGAGAGCCAGTCACTTTAGGTTTCCAGGAACCAATCACTTTAGGTGATATAACTGGGATACTTGCCATTGTGGTAATGGAAGCTGAGGAGAACTCCATGTCTGTGGTGGCAAACAGATTTTTATTAATGTGTATTACAGTCGTCAGGCTTTCCTCGCTGTTTCATGGCATATCTAAGCTATTGCTGGAGACAGTATTTAATGGGAGTTACTTGACAGCAAAATGTGACCCACTACACTTTGTAGAACTACAGAGGACTGATTGAAATCAATTGCTTCAATACTTTTAAGTATGACAAAAACAAACAAACAAAAAAAAAACAACACACACATTAAAGCATCAACAGCTGCTAGCCAAAAAGCCAGAGAAGTCAAACATGAAAGCAGTGCAAAAGTTGATATAAACAACTGGTAGAGATGAAAAGCACAACTTGCACTACTTAATTGCTATATTGTTCACTGAAGACAACACATTCCATTACCTTCTAAACATCTTCCAAAAATATAATTTTACTTAGAAAGATACATGCTTACTATAGGTTACTCCTGAGAAACCAGATCAGCTCCATTAGTGCTATTACAGGATACCAGGAACTGTTGAATGAGCCATTTCTTGAGGGGACGATGAAAGGAATGTTCTTAACCTCTATTTTTTAATGGTTCCTAAGGAACAATATTGTATAGATTCTGGCTCCTCTGTTATACATTTACTGAACAGAATCACTAAAGCCAATGTGGAAATGCATGAGCAGGAAACATATCAAATTGGGTTTACAATCCAAAATCTACTTTGCACAAAAGTATTTTGTGTTCACTGTCCCATTAGGTTTAGGCGTGTATGTCTGTGATGTGAGATTTGACTGAGAAATGTACTCCAAAAGCATGCTCATTCAGGTCTTGAAAATCAGGTTCAATTGTATCTGTTCTAAAATATCACTTTGAAAATTCAATTGATAACCACTAACTGAGACAAGGTAGCATTTCCATATAAAAGTTTTGCTTTGCTTTCCTAAGCAAGTATCTAACTTACATTATGGTTAATATATCTGGAAAATATTTGTCTCAGACATTACTTCTTCTCAAGTTACAGAAGTATAAATATAATCAGAAACCAAACCAAAACAACAACAAAAAAAAACATGTTGTTGCACTTTTGCAAATTAAACATAGAAATAGATTCTTCTCAGATCTGTCAGTCAAACATGCCCTCAGTTTGAAACAAGAGACCAAGTTCCAGGAGGAACACTGGAAAATACGGCTCAGTCTTGCTCCTGTTGAAGTCAACACAGGTTCTCCTTTTGAGTTCAACAGAGAAGCATTGGGTCCTGCCTCCTGGAACACCAAGGGCTGACAATGAAAACATTGTTAGAAAAAATCACTCAAGGTGAAAAGGATGTGAAAGTCTCTCTGACAGCAGTACATAAAGCTTCCTAGGCTACCTTTGTTTACACAAGTCCTCATTCAGCTACACAGTTTGTGATATTTTTTTCCATTAGCACAAACTACTTATAACATTTTAAAAATATAGAAATACACATTTTCTGAAATGCGTATTTGTACAAAAAGCTTGCTGGGAAAGAAGGAAAGACGAAGGGAGCAGTAAGGAGGAAGATGATGAAATTCTGCAATTCATCTACTAGAGATGACCAATAGGGGCATTCACAAATGCGTGGCTGGGGATACAGAGTAAAGCTTAGTGGACTTTCGTGCAAGTGAAGATGTCATCTATATTAATCAGGCTCTTTAATAAAAGATGTCTCAATAAATAATGAGCTGTTAACATGCGACTACACAGGGTGAAGTACTGAGTGAGAAGAGTCTGACTATCTTTACCATCAGTGGGAACATGAGTAAAAGCACAAAAATGAAGGATTGCCAACTGTGCAAAAGGAAAAAAGGGCTGAAAATGCTGAACTGAAGGAAAGTAAAGGTCAGTAATTCAAAAAAATTAAAAAAAACTAACCAGATGTTGGGTCGCCAAATATTTTGTAATCTGGTGTAGCTGTAGTAGGCAAAATTTCTAAAAGAATTAAAGGAACAAGTAATCAGTAAAAAGTAACAAAAAGAAAGCAAAAGATCTCAAACCTGAGTGACGGAAAATGAAAACTAAAATATTACTGGTTATAAAAAATAAATTCTTCAATACTTTGCTGTAGACCCCAAGTAGTTGTAAACCGGTGAAGGAGAAGAAAGACAAAACTCTGCCACCCAGGACCAAAAAGTTCATCTTTGTGAACATTCACAGTAACAACAGGTGATGTGTTCATCGTATTACTGAAAAATTCATCATAAATTTAACATCTTTAGTGAAGCATGGCCACAGACTACTGCTGAGATATTATAAATGAAAAGCAATGACTATGCCTTACCATGGCAGTCCCCAAGCTGCGCTGTGTTGCCATATTCTATATCTTGTACATATCCTCCAGTGCTGTGGTTGTATGAAACAAATAAAGAGAACCTGCAATTAACAGTATTAATAGGGAAAAAAATAGTGATTTTTTTTTTCCTGGAAGCAATAAATGGAAACATTCAGTCACCATAGAGAGGCAAAACCTAGTGTATGGCCAAAAAAAAAAAAAAAAGGTTTTATACAACACACAATTTGTTTATAACCAGGCTTTAACATTGTATATACAATGCCAGTCAGTAGAAAAGATCATGTTCTTCATAGTGACCCTGTCACGTCTACACTGTGTGTGCTCTTGGCTTTGGATAGAACTGTACAATTATACTAAGCTGAAGTTTGAGCTAGCCTGCTACAAAGGCCCCTTTTTAAGATACAGCTGCTAATGCACTATATATTACAGACTAGATCTGTGCATAAAGCCTTTGATATGTATATACATCACCCTAGTTTCAGTGTGGAGGCAAAACCTTTCTTTTTCCCTACTCTGAAACCTGTGCTTTTGTATTTTCAATTGACTGTGCCCTGGCTGTGAGCAGGGCTGGGAGGGGACAGCGTGTACTGTCCTGTCTGAGCTGCTCAGGTTTACAGGCAGCAATTTGTTGCTATCCTGCTTCCAACAGCTCTTCCTGCAGGTCTGTTTGTCATCACACACACATGTAAAACCCCCACCGAAAGGAAGTCTTCACTTAGAGTTTGCAGAATTAAAACTTTCAGACTTCAGCATTCTGTTCTCTCATATATATAGTACATTCAAAAAACAGCTCTAAAAAACAGACATTTATTAATTGAGCGCAAGGGAACAGGCACAGGATACAAGCTTGTATAGTCTACAAAATACATAGTAGAGATGGTGGATTAATTTGAGAAGGAGTACTTACGGCATGCCTGGTGTCACTCTTCCACATGCCTCATGGTCTAACCAGCCACAGTATGGGTCCCGTGAAGCAATACACGCCCTTGCAAGAGAAAAACCCCAAAAAACATGCATTTTTTTAAAATTTCCTTCCCCAGAGATGTTGGCACCCTTCCTTTAAGGGAGAATTCAGGAACGGGGCCGTACTTTTTACATGACCCGTGACGCTCACACCGACTCAGAGGAATTCTAATGACGCAGCTGGAGAATGCCACAAACAGAGCATGGTGGTCTCTATCTAGCTGAAGGGAGATGACTCTTCTGTCTTCCTCACTCTCAGCATTACACCTGTTAAGAAAAATAATGGGAAGCCATTATTTTACAACTGTAGTACTTTGGGCAGAGCTTATGCTGAAAACATTTTATTTATTTATTGTTTGTTTGGATACTGAAAAAGGAATTCCTTATATAAATACAACGTACTAGTCTTTTCTGAGTGGCTTGTAAGCAAACATGATTTGATAAGCTGGGTTATCAATACTGACTTCTGACTCTTATTTACAGCTACATGACTATTTTAAAAATACAAATTCATTTTCTTTGTTCTCCCAGATGACATAAATATCTCAACAGAGCAGAACAGGAGTCCTGTACTGGGCACCTGTAGAGTCTAATTTCCAAATCCTTTTTTTCCAGAATAAACACATTTAAAATGATTAGATGTAGTTTATTTATTATTGGTCACTGTTGAGAAACCCTCAATAAAAGCTCTCAGTGTTGCTTTTTAACAGCAGATTGTTCTGATGTTTGATATTCAGGAAGATGTGTATCTATTTGTGGAAGAATTAGACTGTATCACTGGCGTCACTAGAGTGGAATTAGGTTGTTCACTTGACCCAAGCAAAATGGCAAGTAACCAAATATTTTCAGGTTATTCAACATGAGAAACACTGTGAAATGACAAATAAATGATGATGTTGGTAATAATGAATTAGTTTTGGTTCACCATCATTTTTATTTAGCTAGGTACCAAGGACTAGATGAAAAGCTACATATTTTAGGTGTTCTGGTAATACTTACTTTGCATGATTATATGCTTCAATCTCTTCCAGTAATACACTGTCATTCAAAGAGAAAGGCCTGGTCTTTGCCAAGATTTTAAGTACTACTCCTGCTTCAGAGCCAACAAATATGACTGTGTAGTTCTGGTATGGTCCAGCAGCGTGGTCTACAGCAATTGCTGTCAATCTGTATCTATCAAGACCAAAAGGCATGTCATTAACTAACAGTGTGTTTCCTTGTTTTCCTTCTCACATGCTTTAACTCTGAATTATGTCATACCTGACACGTGTTTTGGTAAACCAAGGCTCCTCAACAATTGAGGGAACAGCTGAATCCATCAAAGGATGAGATTTAATGAAGGACAACGTTTCGTCTGGGAAATCAATGGAGGTTTTGTAAGCTTCTGCTAGGCCATGTTTTGCACAGCAGCCAGGTCTGAAAGGAAGACAACATTGTTTTTTCCCTCTTGATATTTTAGTTAATGAGAGAAGGCAGCCTGTTAAAGAGCATCCTTATGGTTAAAGTGTAAAGCTTTGCTTTGATTTTTACCGAACAAGTCACCCAAGAGTGCAGCTGATTTTAATGTAGGCCTTTCAAGGACAGTATTACAGTATCATAAGTAAAAACTTTTTACCTTGGCTTTGGTACTTTGTCTTCAGGTACAGCTGTCCAAACAGAGTCGGGAGTCTTTTGTTCTTTAAATCTCCCTTTGAAGACCTTCTCAATGTCATCCATACTGAAAGCACAGACTGCTGAACCAGGGATGCTGTAAAACAAGAAAAATAGTTGCAAGAACTCAGACTACAATGGCACCAATCTCAGTGTAAGAGAGAAGCAAAAAACTACCTTTGATAGAAGGTTGCTCATCTCTCACCTGTTAAGCTGTGTAGTGAATACACCGACAACCGTAGGGACTCCATTGATTTCTATTATGTCTGTGATAGACTGTAGAACATCAAAGTAGAAGAATGAATCTCCAGGAACTGAGCAGTTGAGGCGAGCTTTTAGAAAGGATGTCCAATGTTTTTCCAGGACTCTCTGAGAACCCCCCATGTCATTTTTGCAAATGCGTGCCACACGGGAATACACAGCCTGCGAAGGACAAAAAAAGAAAAAGGAAAAAGGAAGAAGGCTTGAGAGATGCAAGGGCGAGAGTTCTTGTTTCTGAGATATTAATAAAGAACACTGAAGATCAGAAAGGCAGTTGTCATTCATCCATGCAGAAAGAAAGAAAGCAAACAATGTTTAGCTGCTAGTGCACAGGCATTTTAATGTATCATCAAGCAAACGCAACTCTGCCAGCTTGTCCCCTAGCCTTCTTGCCTTCAAAATCATATTGTTAGTGAGATTTAAAGACTCTAATTAACCATGTGTAAAGGAGTTAATAATTTATTATAGAATATCCTTCCATGGTGAAGCATGAGTATTATACTCTGTACTGGTATGACTGAATTATTCAATACCCAGGGACATTAGATAAACTTCTTTGAAACTCTTCTTTTGTGTTGTTTTCTTTTGTTCCTTTAATAAGCATGAAAAAAAACAACACTCAGATTTTCCATTACTTGCCACAACAGTTAAGGCAACAGTGAAACAGAAAGATACCTGTAGAGAGCTCTCCTAACTGCATGGCAGAAGGAATACAAACAACTTTTTGGTTGAAGAACGCCCTGTTCTATTTTTCCTTTTTTTTCCTCCCTGTAAATTATAAAATTGGGATAACTACATAAATTTTGTACTAGTCCCTTCTTCTTATAGTAAACTGTGCTTGTTACTGTTGCTGTTTTAGGATGATCTAACTCTGCAAAGACTTGTAGCTAGCAATAGCTTGCTGTAAGGATACTCACCTTGCCTAAATTATTGTGCTCTACAGCAATTTCTCGAAAGAAGAAATAAACGTAGTTCCCGTATTCTATGGCATGGAGGAAGTGTGGCTCTGTAATAAAGAGCAAGGAGAAAGTTACTTCAAAAAATTGTTCAATTGGCATACAACACTGACTACACTGTGTGATTTGGCAGCTTTTCTCCCACAGGAGAAGCTTCTTCTCTATACCAGCTAACAAGAGGTCTAGTCTTCCAGACACTTGAGGATGTCTAAATATGGGTGCACTGGAGCTTAAATGGACTTTAAGGCCTTAATGTTGGCTAATGGACTATAAAAAAAGCCTCAAAGGAATTGCATTTCAGCATAGTTATTTTGTGACTGCAGATTCATTCATTGATGTATTTAACAAAAAAAATTGCTTTATTGATACTGCTTTCTTATTGTGATCATACTATGTTGAAAGTTGCACATATGGTGCCAGTAAGACATGCTGGCTGTGAATTACCTGACTCTCTGTGCCACTGAAATTATATTCACCATTCATATGGGAAAACACTCCCCCAAATTACCTTTTATCCATTTGGAATCATACTTTATTGTTCTTAAGGCAGATCCATCCCCCATGCTGCGATAAATAACAGCATCACTTGCCAGGAAATCTGCTACAGTTGCTGAGTACAATTTTCCATCTAAAACGGAAGTTGAAAATGTGGTATTAAAAAGCCTTTAATAATCTACAGAACTCTGACTAGGCTGTATTTGTCCCCATTTTTTTTACTGCCATTCTTCCACAAATTGCTGTAACCTATTTATTAACAGGTCAGCTTCTAATCCTTTGGAGGCCCTTTAAAAAATTTAAGAGTAGAGGCACCTTGACACCTTTAGTTTTCCTGTGCTTGCTTTAAAAGCGCTCTGGCTGCTCTGGTGTCATTAATCATTTAGACTCATTACAAGCAAAGTTCTTACCAGCAAAGAGGGCGACATTGGTTTGTCTGGCATCAAATGGGCATCTTGCCAAACCACTAATTTCCTCCCCATCATACTCCAATGTATTCAGCTAGAGAAGAAAAATAAATGGGTGGTAGTGTCATTTCTATTTTGTATACTGGCACAAAAGCATAACATTGTCTTTCCACAAAACTTAATTTAGCAAATTGGCTTCTGTCTGGTTTTATTTCACCTTGAAACACTCTCCAGTCACACTGGCTGTATTTCCTACAGCATAATTAGTGCAAGCAAAACCAGTAACAGATTAATGACATATTCAATATCCTTACCCGATAGTATCTGCACATAGGATTAAATGCATTTGTTCCACAGACAAATACCATCTCATTGTTTCTTGGAACAAAGACTTTAATGAAGTTATGGCATTCATCCTGAAAAGAGAGTTAAGATGTATCAATCACATATTTCACGTATACAATTCACATTAGCAGGTGACAGTGCATGTGATAAACTTACTTTATGTTTGCCTTTCATTGCACAGTTCTCTCTGTCCTGCTGCCTTGACCTCCATGTTAATTTCTATTCAAATCAAACCAGAAAAATGTTCATTTTCTTTCCACAAAAAAAAAAAGAAGCCAACAACAAAACAAACAAACAAACAAAATACCTCCAAGCCTCCCTTTCCAATTCCTCTATCTACTCACCCTGCTTGGAGTAACTTCTGATTTTGGAACTTCATTCAAGTTTACAGTGTAAACTTGATCCCTGTTTGCCAAGAATAAAAAGATACAAGTCACTTCATTAATTAACTGGACTTAGTTTTGTTGAGCTAAATCTATTTTTAGAGTGTTTTGTTAGACAATAAGTTTCTATGAAATGCTTATTTTCTGCATTATGGGAGAAGTTTGTGCATGGGCAAATAGGGTAATGTTGACTTTATCGGTGTGGACCTTAGATTGCACCTATAGTATCCAGTTGCCCCATCTTTCCATTATGTTGAAGACTAATTCAGACTGTAAATAATCAGGTGTTTTACACTCACTTCCTATGTCCCTGATGCATCAGTCCAAGTTTAAAATAATCAGGGGAGAATTTTATCAGAGCAATAACATAAAGGAGGGAAACGAGTATTTTATCATTGGTTTTAGCATAACTACAGTAACTGCAGCCTTCAAATCCAATTTTCATGCACTGGCCATAGATATGGTATGTTTCTCTAGGAAGTCCTCCCCCAGTTTTAATTTTTATCATATTCTGCAGATTTTTTAAAAATGAATTTTACACGTTAATGCAAAACCAGAAGAGAAAAGAATTTTAATCTAATAAACTGACTGAAGGAAAATTACCTGCCAGCGATATAAAGTGTGTCTCGAATTTTCAACATCAGTTGGAAGTCCAGTCGGTGCTGAGATTCATTGCCTGAAGGGCGTCCTCTAAATACTGGATATTGCCTTGAATCTGCAAGTAAAAATGGGCTACACCATCACTCAGGATTATAGAGCGAAAGAATCAATATATGGCATTGATTAGCTGTATATACTAGGTGTAGAAGGGTTTAAACTAAATTCGTTGAGTAATGTCTTGAATATAAATGAAAAAAAGATGGATAATGTCAGCAAATGTTCTTTTTCCTGAAGTTATTGCTGTATTTCTGATTGCTTTTTTAAGAAAATGATTAAGTGTTCCATTAAAGATACAAAGCCAGTAAACACATTTCAATTTGAAAGGAAACAGTTTTGTGTTTTTTTTTTGTAACTTCCCAAGGAAAAAAAAAAAAAAAAGCATTAGAACTTTTTCCCTAGTGGCTAGGGATTACTTACAGTGGTAGTCAACAATGTTAATAGGGTCCTCATCTTCAGGGAAGCTGACAGCTCGGCATTGGGACAGACTCATTAGCATAACAGAGGCACAAAGCAGAGGAAGCCTCATGGCTGGTGAAAGCTGAGCACTACCTTTGTGGCAACACTGTTTAACTACCTGGAAAACAGGAACATACCAGTGAGATTTCAGCAGCACAGGGCAATAACGTGACTTCCTACCACAGAAGGTGCGTTTCCTTTGTGTTTCAGCACTGGCACCAGTGGACTTAATCGATGCTTCTGAAAGGCCCCTAAACGTAGAGTGATGGAAAACTGCTGCATGACATATTCCTGCTCAAACCTGCTCTGAAACATATGGATATTTGCTAATTTTCAGCTGGATTTACAGGCATTTCTGAAAAAGCTGATGATTGTCAGCCCATTTAATTCATGGGAATAACAAACAGAGCATGCAGGCTGCTGACCTGGCAAGAAAAATTGTCAAACTTCGGATTAGAATTTTAATTAAACTACAATCTCTTCCCATCCCCTCTATCACCGAATGTCATCCAATAAAACCCTTTCCCCACAAAGTACTTAAATCTTATCCACAAAAAGTCATGACACACACAATCTGTCTGAACATCCATTCCATGTTTTAAAATTACTGCTTGTTTCTAGGCTGTGCCATCATACCACTAAGCCTAACAGGCTCATTGCCAAAGACGTTATGTCTAGGACCAGGCAATTGATGCTCTGCCTTGAGCACTGGCTTACACATATGTGGAGTGAATGTAAAAATGCTGCCTCTGTGGTGCACAAGGGTTTGTTGCATGGTTTGCAAGTGTGGCAAAGAAATACAGATCATGGTGCTGAACTGAGCTCCTAACAACCAGCTTTCCCCCTAATGCTATTTGTTATGATAAAAAGCTAGCAACTCAGCAGCAGCTCTCATGGGGTTTTTGGTTGTTTTTCTTTTTATTTTGTTATATATGTGCTATAGATTATATAGCACATACTATGATAGCAACACAGCCTTATACAATGAAGTTGTTTAGAGGGGTAAGGAAACATCATGTCTCCAATTAAACTGCAGGGATATTTTAGCAAGCAGAATTCAACTACTCAAGTTGCAATTTGGGTACGACGCAAGAAAACATCTCAAAGTGAAATGCAATCTTTAATGACCACAAGTGGTCTGAGCAGGGGTTAGATTTCTCATTACAATCCTGGCACATGCGGTACTATTCCCTGCTCCAACCTTTTGGAGACATTCATTCAACCCTGATTCACAGGTCAGAGCTTTGAGTCATCCGTCCAATGCTTTACAGTTGCTGAAATCAGTTATTAAACCTTTGTCTAAACAGAATAAAATAAGCCTTTAAATTTTAATGTTTCAAGAATTGTTGCGAGATGTACATGTTGCCAGTACAATGTGCCAGCCCTGATCCAGCAAAGCACATAAGTATTAATCATTTAATAATTTGAAAAGCAATTTAAAAAAAAAAAACACAACACTTCATAACAACACTTAACCTTTTAGTACTGCTTACTTGGGTTGAGAAAACTGTATTTAACTGTATTTATTAATTGATACTACAGCTGGCTAGGGGCAGGGCTCCTTCCATCCACAAAGCTGCTGAGCTCTGTGAGTTCAGATTGTGAGGAGACCAACTGAAATGCAGATAATATTTGGTGATGGGAGTGGAGCTGTGGATGTTGTCTGAATGCCCGTCCATTATGGACTGACCTGAAAAGAAGCATTTTCCACCGTTAATGATATTTCTGTATCTCAGTCCACCCAGCCAGAACGGATGGGTTGTGCTTTTAGTCAAGACTGATGAGTGCAGTGGTTAATAAACACTAATGATTCCTGGCACTTTCCCTCTGCTCTTCCTTGTCCTGACATGGCCTTTTCAGCTGAAGCATCTTGCATTAAATTACTAATGAGCAAACTTAAAACAAACTGGAATTAATAAAGTTAGTTCAAATTAGTTCTCTCTTGTGAAAGCACTATTAGAGCAAAGTCCTGCAGCACAGTGGCTCCCAGACACAATAACGAATCATTAATGGTTACACAGTTCTTTTTAAAATTATAATTGATATATACATATATACATACATACATACATATATATATATATATATACATACATATATATATATATGCATATATATACATATATATATATAAAGAAAATCAGTCTCCAAATATCTAATCCACTGCTGGCCCAGTGAAGGAAGAGAAATGGAAGGCATATAAACAGTACGTTGTGTTAGTGGACAGTAACATCTACAAGGTGCTTAGTAAAAGCCCTCCCTGTAGCCTCATTTCCTTAGAGAATGAACGAATACAAACTGCAAAGGAGCAAGATGTCCTCCCAGCCATGTAGGCTTTAGTTAGTGTAGAAGATGAGGCCATGCATGGCCCACACATCATGACGCAAAGAGACCTATCCTGGCTGCAAAATGCACACAGCCCGTAGTTGTAAAAGTTCTGCCAGTATGGGTGTATCTTAGGAAGAGTGTTTTTTTTTTTTTTTTTTCTCTTTCCTTGCCATATCTCATCTAGGAAGAATTCAATGGGGCAATGAATTTGAAACTTAAATGTAACTTCCCTTACAAAAGCAAATACTGTCTTCTGGACTCAGAAGGCTGCAGAGTACAAAAGGGCAATTTGTCTGTGTATGGGCCACAACAACAGTGACCTAAAAAAACAACTTGTCACAAAAACAAAAAGGAAACTACCAAAATGCCAGGTAAAGGAAGAGGGTATCATTTTTCTCAGATTCAACTTTCCTGATGATATACACCCAAACTCTACTCCCTAGAAATCAAGGCAAAGTTTTGTAAATGTAAAGCCACAGGAGGTGTGAGACTGCATCCTGAGCAGGAACAAACATTTATGTCTTCCTCAAGAACACCCCCCCCCCAAGCTCTAAATATTTTTTCTGAATATTTACTCTGAGAACACATAAGAGGTGGGAATACTTGCGTTCAGCAATTCTGTTAGCTAAACCTTTCACAAGTCTTTCAAAAACAAAACACCTACATCTGCTTGAAGCACAGATGTTTGTCATGGCAAGAGAAACACACAGGGAGACGGACTGCATCAGCAAACCATACCTAGCTAGGTAAGAAGTACAGCTTTCCTTATTTTGCTTGTGAAAATACTACACGCAAATGAACAGTAGTCCTGATTTCTAACTACATACAAAAAATGAAAAGGCACCTGCTTTAAGAGGGCATTCAAATGCAGCTTTTAGCTGCAGGGCACAAACTTGAGATCAGAACCACTGAAAAGAGAATAAACCTAAAGAACAGCAAGTTGTTCTTCAAGAATAATAAACCCGTTCCCTGGATAATCAGAAAAATGGGCTCCATCTAGCCCTTGGAACAGGGGTTTATGACAGCCAGGTGTATGCTTCTGGTACACACAGATATGCTGGTGTGAAAGACGTAATTTTTGCTTCATTCAAGCCTATTCTAGAAGCCACTACTGTGGACTACAAATAACAATGCTGAAGTATCTGTTTGGACCAGAATAGCTGATTACGAAATGCTGGCAATGTCTACCCTCAAGAAAATGTAGAAAACAATCATACTCTGGGTCTGATAATTTTTCCCCAGCCAGGATTCAGACCAGTCTTTAATTAATTTCTCCTATAAATTGCATTCCTAGCATTTCTGTTAGGAATCAATTCATGGCAAGTGCAATCTTTTGGAAATTACCATATCGCTATCCCTGTTTTGCAGCTGGGTAATAGAGGCACAGACAAAGGCTGAATTTGTGACCAAGGCTGAATTTGTGACCAAGGCCAACAACCGAGGGAACCTTTAAAGCACCTGAGCTGCTCTGGGTTGCGTTACTCTCCTGGCAGCATAGGCAAAGCTGGCCAGTGCCACCAACACAGAAAAGCAAGGAACAGATCAGAGACGTGGGCATTTGCTCCACACCGTAACTAGCTGTGCCTACAAATACAGAGAAATAGATGTATAAACGTTAGCTGTTGGCACAAATCCACATCAGTAAAGTGGCACTCTGAGTGAAACAGGCCTTGGGGTGAGCACGACTGGTCAGGAGGAAGGCAGGCAGTTGTTGCAGATATAAACGGGCTCTTGGTGTCTGGCACCTTTCAATCTCAGATACGAAGCCCATCCTTCAACTCCTGACTGGGGGAATCCAGAGAAGGAGGATATCATTCCTGCTAAAATATAAGCCCTTCTTCAAACAATCACACATGAAGGGGAATAGGCCACTGTTTCTTGCCCATTAATCTACTCCAGCCTTTGACAATGCACTGGTGACGCTCCATCAATCATCTTCGCGTGCGCTGCCACGGAAAAGAAGAGGGGGAAGGGAAAGGGCATTCAGCCAACTGGAGAGAAGCAACACATAAAATAACTTCGACCCAGACTGATGCAATATCTTCTGTTATCTCAAAAGAAACTATAAGTCTCCTTAACACAGTAAATGTTTCTCAAAATGCTAAACACAGACGGGAGTGCAAGAGTGGCAAATCCAGGCAGAAGTTTGAGATAGGTCATAATGAAAAATACATCCCCAAAATTAGTTCACTTTTGGAGAATTTGTTGAGGCAAAGGAGAGTAGGTTTCAATAAAAAAGCTGATAACCAGGTACTTAACTCAAAAAGGCTTAACTGACTGCACCATCTTCCTTTCGCAGCAGGCCTAAACCAGGCTCTGAGGCGAGATCAGGAATCTCCTGGGTACGTGGAACTATGTTCTAACCATGGTGAGGGTCAAGCAGAACTGATTGGTAATATGCTGAGTTTAGTCAATTTACATGATGTGTTTTCACACAATCCCAAGTGGCTTTGACTAAGCAGGAAATCCCCCTCGCCCTGTGGTCCCTACCATGTGCAAATGGCTCCCTCAAGGCACTGATTAGTGCAGATGCCCTAACTAGTGCATTTGAGATGGTACCTTCTGAAATTTTGAGCATGAAACCCTTCTAACAATAAGCCAGAAAGAAATGAAAGAGAAGTCCTTAGTGCTACCTTTTCACAGATGCTCGGAAAGTTTCTCATTGCAGTGGTGTAAAGCTTTTTAACCCGAAGACTGCTGAAAGGTCTGTTGGACTGGTTAGAGCAAGTCACAGACAACCTCACTTGCAACCAAACAGCCAAATAAAGTTACGCTGGTCTCAGAATGGGAATTTACTTGTGTTTATCACCTCTCCCAACTTTTTTTTTTTTTTTGTATGTAAAGGACAAGTGGGGTTAAAAAAGGTTAAAATGTTATTTAGCCTCAGTGATTATTTTTTCAAGTAGAGATCACTTTTGGTCCACTAGCTGCAGGCTGAAAAACATTAGTTGAGAAGGGTGAGCTCAAATTCTGGGCCTCATGAAGTTCACAGCAGCACTGGCACGGCCTTGGCCCTGGGGGAGTAAGGCTTTGCGCATGCCTTCACTTGCTGGTGGTAACGGCTATGAGGTGGGACTCCAGCTTGAACTCCAGCTGCAGAAAGGAAAGCTTACTAGTAAGGTGCTGGAGCAGAAGCTGCCCTTCACCAGTGGGTAGCAAAGAAAGGCAGGTTGCTGCTGAATTTGACTAGAAAGTCAATCTTTTCAGAAGCTAAAATATTTAGTACAAGATAATGAACGTGGTATGGGCCTTCTCTGGTGCCCTAGGTCCTTTGTGGAAATGTATGCATTGGCAACCTTGGATGCACCATGGTATTCAGTTAGAACAGCACCTCCACCCTGGCATGGACTAAAATGATTACAGCAGTGCCACTCAAGGGTAAACCCAACACCAAAGTGTGCGTCGGTAATCCAGACCTGAAAATGCAGCATTTTCATATGATCCAAGACAAAATATATGATCAGCATGGCCTGGGGTCTGATGGCTTGAACTGTAGAGAGAGAGCAAACAATTCTTTGTCCTACCTCTATTTTTGGTCTGTGTCTCACTGTGTGAAACAGGTATGAGGAATTATTTGCTTACATGTGAAACAGAGTTCTGCATAAAATGCAATGTTCGACTAAAAAGCTGTATCACTATTTACTACATGAGAAGCAGGGGGATCAGATTCCTATACTGGATTATATCTATCCATAGGTTTTCTAATAATGCAATTGTGACTTATTTTGTTTTTCAGATATATTTTCTTGTAAATGTGTTTCTTTTAATGAACAATGACTTCAGTAAAGGTCCTGAAGGCAGTGCTTGGCACAGAGATTTAGTATACATTTAAATCTCAGAGATTGTCTATAATATGGTAAATCCACACTGTGGAGTTTGGTGACAGACTGCTTCAGCTAATTATCAAATAACACAAGAAAATATTTGTGGTTATAATAGAAGAAGCATACTTAATGTATTACTGTGGTCCCTTTAAAAACTTGTGGCATTATTATCTATAAATAGATAAGAAAAAATGTTCCTGTCCTATAGAAGTGCACTCAACTTTTAACTTGCAGTATGTAGCCATTCGTATTTTTATAACAACAATTTTAAAATCTACAGCTCTGAAGAAAAAAAAATAGAATGTTGGGAGCCATGATGTTAATTCAGCACAAAAGTGCAAATAAATGTTATTTTAAGATAGTACTTTTTTTTTTTTTTTTTTTAAGGATTCTGCATTAACACCTCTTGATCTACGTGTAAGAAAAAAAAAAAAAAAGATGGTTTAGGATTAAGTGATGAAACCCTACCACTGAGTATCACAGCTTTCATCTTAATTGGTTTATGGTATTGCTAGTTACACTTCAGTTGTTTGCAGGCTTTTAATGTTACAGGAAATGCATCCCTCTTCTCTGGAACAAGCTGACAGAACACTTGCAAAATGGATAGGGTGACTTTTAATGATGCAAATGCTTAGTGGATGATTAGATGCACTTTGAGGGCTAAACTCTCTTGTGATCAAAAATTTACTTGAACACAAGGTAGTTTCAGCAAGAAAGGAAATAAAATGCTGAGGAAACCGTGATTGCTTCAATTATGTTTATTTTAATTTTTGAGAGTGAACGTTAACTACCTTCCTTTACCAGGGCAATATAAAAGCCCTCCAGCCAAAAACAACTGAGTTCAGCTCACATCTATGATAAAATCTGCTCTCTGTTGTACAAAACTCCTGAAATATATGCTCCCCTTGAAAGTCTGCCACGGTTAAGCTGTAGGTGATAAAGTGCAAGGTACTTCAACTTATGCAGTGCTCCGGATTCACCATTTTAGCAGGTCTGCATTTCATTAATTCAAACTGCTTGTGCCCAAGTTAGACTGCCCTAGCAAATGCTAAATTTATTCACAGAAGCGTCCAAGGACTGTTGCAGAGGAAGTCTGTACAGGGACGTTTGGGTCCTGTGCTGTTCTCTCAGCACTGATCCTCCCTCTGTTAATTCCTGGCCGCAGGTGGCACTGCTAGCATGTGCCCCTGTCCCTGCCCCAGTCCCCAGGCAGCTCGAGCAATGCCATCCTGCTGAAGCAGGTGGCTGCAGCTCACTGGGTGAGCTGGGTGTCTCTAGCTCACAGCTGTATCAGAGGTGTCTGGCAATTTTCAGTAGTGTTTAGTCTGAAATCTTTTTATCCTGAAAACTAGAGTGAAATCTAAAACTGGGGTGGCAAAGATCTAATTACTCACAGTAGTACATACAGTCTTGGATGTAGGTTTAGAAACAACCCAACTGCCCCCCTCAGCCCCAGGCAAAACCCTAAAGCTAGACCATAGTACTACCTATTCCTCCCTATAAGAGTTGGCTACAAATGTGGGTGAGAGCCCTGAGTGAAATAAGAACCTTGTCTACCTGCAAGCCTACAGTACACGATTTACATAGCAAGACTGTCATTCATTTCAGCTTGATTAGGCACCATCTGATAAGGAGCTCTATGACAGGTATGAACCAGTATTTGCAGGTGAGAGCCTAACAAAGGTCTCTGGCACTACTTGGACAAGTCCAGGTGACACCAGAGACACTGTGAACGGCTAGCGGCACTGCAGGTCTCCGTGCTGAGAGCCCTGTGGTCCTCCAGAAGTGCACATAGCAACCTTCACCTCGAGCAGCACTCCAGCCATGGTCCCCAAAACAAGCACTGCCAATTTAGGCCTGGAGACCAGGAGGTCAGGATAATGGGGATAAGATGTTCTGAAATGGGACATTCAGGGGAAAGAATATGCTGCAATGAGCAGCATAGCTGAAGAACAAAGGGTACTGTGGAAAAAGGTCACATCTGCAGTTCACAGGCTGTGCCCCAGACAGTGTTGCCATCAACCTCACTCCAGAAAGCATCTCCTCTTCCCCCTGCAGAACATCCCCACAGCATCGCAGAGCTGCACCTTGCTGGGCCATGGGGGTCACTGGCTTGAGCTACTACTGCAGCTGGGGAAAAGGGCTGCTGAGTGGCACTGCTCTCACTTCAAAGAGAAAGTAAATGGCTGCCAGAAAATGTGAGGGGAGAGGGAGGCTATCAGAAAGAAACACATCAGAGCATCTTAAGCACTGCGCTAGTATTATCAGCCATTCTTGGAACTTGAGCAGTCAGCCAGCCTCACCCACAGGAATACTGCCTCTGGAGACTGGTGAACAGCGTGTTTTTAACTGGTCTTGTTTTTTTCTGCATGGACAAATCTGGTAGCCGGCCACCCAGTTACCTATTTGTATATGCAAAGCATGTGCTTTGCCACTTTCCTGGCCACAATCAATTACATGTACAAATGCAGGCATGAAAAACTGGAGGAAGCCCAAGCTCAAAGTTAACGATTACTATTATCTTGTTAAGCATTAAAGATTAACTACACCAGTCAAAGGATGTGTTATGAAATGTCTTTCCCAAGACAGAAAGTAAATAATGGGAGATTTTTTTATTATTATTATTTTTTCCCCGTTCAAAGACTACTCAAAATTTAGAATAATTGCTTAAAACTGTTGCTTTTATTTACCATAATATCAAAATGCAGTCCCTTGCCACGTGACTGTTCATATTTTTACTTGAGATGTCGTGCAGAAACACATGGAAATCTGGTGAAGGCAAACCAATTTTAGAACATGTTCCGAGCAATTGTTTTGCAGCACTGCCCTACAGTATGAAGTCTCTTACATTTCTTAAATTGCCTAATCAAATGCAGACTCTGTTCCAGTCACGCTAAATTTTCACATAATGGCAGAAAAACACTTCTTTCTAGACTAGCACTGAACAGTTGGATCACATTATTATATTTGCTGCTTTTGTAGCCTGTGAGTATTTGTAAGTGTATGTATAGATATATTCGCAGTCATGGGGGAGAGGGGCAACAGCGGTACTGTTTCTGTGAGCCCCTGGGGGACAGTTGGAGCAGCAGAGGTGGCTCTTCAAGAGAGGTGCCCATGCTGAGGGTCCACTGAGAGCCCCTGGGTTATTGCAACAGGGGTTGCAGTGAGATTTTTGTTTTTATGCGTTTTAAAATGAGATGCATTAGTGCAAGGTTTGAGCCAGCTTGACTCCTTGCCTTACATTCAGCAGAAGTTATTAAACAGATATAAAAGCAGCTAGGTAAATTATCCTGCTGCTGCTGCTGCTCCCTGGCACTTCACAAGCCAGCTGGGAGTTCGAGGCAGGATTGGTGCAACATGCAGCCATGGCTGTCCTGCTTTGGGTCCCAAGCTGGGAGACATCCCTGTGCTGCATCATACCACTTCAGGGAATTCACAAAGAGCCACCTGCTTCCCATGGGCCAAATGCAACCTGTAGAGCCCATGCTTGGCAGTCACAGAGACAGCAGTCACTTGGAACAGGACACTGCCGTGCTGGGCACCGGCCCTCCCATCCCTCTGCCTTTTACCTGTCACCTCATGGTCACATGCACCCCTCTATGGCAGGGAAGCACGTCTGTAACACTACCACCAATGTTTTAGCTTGCAAGCCACAGATCAAAGCTTTAGAAGTTAAATTAAATCAGTAACATATGGTCCACAGTGCCTGAATGAAGGTCATAAGGAAATCCATGGCGGAACAGGGACTGAAACTTGGGATTTCAGAGCTCTGCAGTGCAACCTGCCCCTTTTTCCCTTCCATATTGCCCCCCTGGATCCCCAATACAATTGCAGTTTCCCTAAATCCTTGTGTTATCACTAGTTATACAGGACCAGTGTAAGAATGACTAAGTAAGTTTATTTGAACCACACACAATACAGTCGGCAGGTCTATTTTTCTCTACAGCTGCACCAAATACATTTAGGTTTGCGCTGGCATAGTTTGCTAAGACCACTGTTCAATCACTAGCAGTGCTTATGTCTTTGGCAAGGATGAAAATCTGATGCTTTAGGGAGAGGAAAAGCCATAATCCACTCTCACAGTAAAACCTGCATAGTAGTACAAAGGACAGAAAAAAAATTCTATCCATACCCTTGCAGGGAATCAGATTAATCCTCAAAACATGGGATTTGATTATCTTTGTTTGAGGTTATCATTAAAAAAAAAAAAAAAACGAACCTATACATTGCTAAAAATATCCACATAGCATTTACTTTATGAAGAAAGTATGATTTATTGAGCAAAAACGAATTACTGGCTTCTCAGTGTTAATCTTTGATAAACACGTGCTGGGTTTAAGAAACCATCAAGGAGAGCAGAACTTTGCAAATTGAAAGAAACCATTCAACTCCACGAGATGATTTTTTTCCCCCCTTATTACTCCTTTCATGAGACACCTGGGGACATTGTTCACACACTGTTGACAGCTTTCACACCACTGCTTTTCCTCTGTTATCCTTACCCCTCTCTTCAGCACTTGTCTCCAGGTGGCAATACACAAAATAGTTGTATTTGCAAAGGGTGCCAGTGCAGGCTTCTAGCCAACTGTTTGAAATTAAAAGGGCCCTCTCCTTCCTTGCTGCTTGGTTGCTTCGAGTTGCTGCTGCAGAACCCAGCCTCCTTGACTCACCAGGTACTAAGTACTCTGATACTTAACACCTGGGTACTGCTTGGCCCATGCAGGGTACACGCAGAGCATTTATGGCTGTTTCTTGTTGTAAAACCACCATCCCACTAACAGGCAGAGTAACAGCCTGCTCACTAACACTGGACAACATTCAAACACCATCTAAACTTTTAATATTGCAACCATAAGTATACACTGAGGCTTCCAATGCATATGATTTTCTCTGTAACCTCCCAAAACAGGGAGGTTACGCAGCCTGATAGGATGCTTCACACACCACAGGGAAGGGGTGCCCAAGCAGAGGTATACATAAACAGGGTCTTGAAATACCAGCATGAGACATTTCTTTTGACCCCAAAGCACATCTACCACGACAGACATACACAAATAACTGCAACACTTTCTGCTGGAGCTGTGAGTAGCTGCTGCAGTCCCTATACACCACCAGTACCTGTAAACATGCCCAAAAGTGCAACAGTGGCACTTAAGGAGAGTACCTTTGGTTTCATGCTACAGTAAAACTGGGAGGAAGGTCCTACCTAAGGGAGGCACAAGCTGGTTCCTCACTACTGCTCAGGAAGGCAGAGGCCCAGCTGTCGTGACCATTTGGCATAAGAAAGATGAACTATGCGGCTCACGTTAAGAAAAGCCTATTATTCCAGTAATAGCTGAGCACAGTGACCAGCTGATCACCTCTCATTTCTTCTGAGGTTTTGCTCCCACCACTGACGGCAGCCATCCTGTGATGCTGGTCCCTGCTGCTTGTTACCTTTCCAGATGAGCACCTCTGCTTGCTTCCCCCGACTCTTGAAGAGCTCTCCAGCACACGCCTGCCAATTCTCGTCATTTGCAGCCCAAACCCTCTTCAAAGCTCCCTTTGCCTCTGATGCCTACAAGCATGTGTGCCCCTTTCCCCGACACACACGGCTCAGCTAGAGTTTAGGCAGCTTGTGCACGAACACGGCTGCTGATTATGCAGGCCAACAGGGCTCTCCTGCTTCTCACAGCCCCTGCCTGGCTGTACGCATCTGCCGTCTCATCTCAAGCCATCCATTGTGGGGCACAGGATCCATCCTGTAAATAAAAATTCTGTGTATGCTGTGTTCCAGTGCCTTTCGAATGAGAAACACAGGCTGCAATTTGGCTCTTGGATGCAACTGTTAACAAAAATAACAGCAACAACAAACCCTTCTGCAAGAAGAGTATCTGTGTGCAAATATGACCTCTGTAATCTTACCAAGGTCAAGCATACCAAGGCCAATCTGCTGTGTGAGAATATAAATCAAAGCTGTCCAGAGACTGATTTCATTTACAAGGTTTGTAACCATTCTGGACAGAACAAATGTCACTTGCTTGCTTGAGCTCCTTGCTCCTCCTCCACCATGTCTTTGCTCCTCCACTTCCACCCCAGCCTCTACCCACCTGGCAACACCTCCTGACCTCCTTTGCTCTTGAAGGCTCCTCTTCTAGCAAGAAAGCTGTGGCTCATACACAACAGCCAGTCATGCCAGGCCAGTTTACTTAAATTATGCAAAAATTTCCACAGGTGCAATTAGCACAGAGCCACGAGGGCACTCACCTGCGGGTTACGTGCCATTCAGAGTACAGGTCACAATTAAAACAAACTGCACACCAGCTTCTTTACTATTGCGTTCACAGATCTGTAAAACAAACCCGAGGCACACATCTGTGGTGAGTATTAGAGTCTGGGCACAGATCCTGTGAAATCACATGGTTTCCGTTGTGGAACTAAAAAGACTTCTCCAAGAATGTGTGAAACACACAGCCCAAATTCTCCATTTCTTTCTGTGCTCTCCGGCTGTTTGCATGGCTAAGTTAAGGCAGCAAGTTCTGTTTCTTTATCTGGCAGCTTTCAAAGCACACCCTGATCTGCAAACCGAAGGAGCGAGCACAGGATCCTGCAAGCAACCTCCCTCTCAAGCAAGCACCGAGTTAACTTAATCCCACTCCACAAAACAGGTTGCTGCCTTCAGACTGGAGCCCCGCAAGGAAAGAGTACAGCGGTTGCCTCGCTCCCAGCAGCCATCTTGCGGCCTGTCTGCAGGTGTGCCTGCTGAGCTGCAGCAGGGCCTGGGTGCCGGCACGGCACAAACTTCATGTTCTGAATGTTAACTTTAGTTACCATAGCCAGACAATGCTGCCAGTGGTGTGGAAGAAAAAATTGCTGCAGCCAGCTGTGCTGTTCACAGTCGGATGGTTTCTGTGTAGCTCCAAATGGTTATGGCTGTTGTGGCCAAGGACAGAATGATGGATGACCTACACACAGTGTCCAAGCAGGGAGAATCGCAGAAGTTCACTTTGGGGTTGTTAAAATGCTAATCTGGGTTAGTTAACAAAAGCCGAATGGAATAGAAAAGTTAGGGAAATAAACACAACTCATATGTTATATATGTGCACTACAGATTTGATCTCTGTGGTTACACAAACATTTGACTTTGGAAGTGGGACAATTCAACAGCCGTCCTGTTTGAATAAACTGAATCAACTTCTGATATTAGCTGTACTGTAATTACTGTCAAACCACAACAAGGTAAAGTGGCCTATGGCAGACAACACACAGAGCTGCAAACAGCATCGGAAGAGCAATAATACGATGTTTTACTGCACACCTCTTCCACGTGACATGGGAACAAATCAGAACCTACTTTCTTTTGAACTCCAGGCTGGCACCTATTCACAGAACAAGTAACAACTTAATAAAATGGCTTAGATGGATTTTAACGGTAACTGCAGTAGCTTATCTGATCCATAAGAAGAGATCATCTGTTCTAACAGCAGTTTTGAAGAAAGCAACATTTGAACTGTTTTAATTACACACAGAGCTGCTAAGACTGAAAATAACTTATACTACCCAATGCAAATAATATGCCTTCCATCTTTTCTTAATTACTCGTGAAGCAAATTATTACCTTACCCAATGGAAAGACATCTGATTTCTCTTAACTGGAATTATAGGTATGTTTAACACACAAATATGTAATCAACCACCATATCCTTTATTCAGTAAGCACTGCAAACACATAGTGCATTCTCTGAAAAATACCACAGACTGAAACACAAGTAAGCCCAACATAAGCTTATGAGCACAGAAACTGTTCTTGTAACTGGTTCCTTTGTCTTGCAAAGAAAGATCATAACTGAAATGGTCTCTGTCATAGCACTCATTTGACACTTGATGAAAACTAGCCATATTCTCCAAGGATTTCCACTTGATTTCACTGCACTTGATTTCACATTTCTGTCTTTTTCTGAAGGAAGCATAACCTAAGTATTTCAATGTTTTTGTACAGGTTCTGTCCAGCTAACCGGGCTTCACATGACTTCAAGGGATATTGAATGCTGTGTTAAGTGCAATAGCATTTTAAAAAAGAATAACAGACATAATGATTAAGAGCTGCAGCCTCTGTGTGACTGACTGTAGTAAAACCAGAAGATGTTATTACAAATACTTAATATACGCTTTGAAGTGAGCTTCTATGACGTACTTTCTTTACCTTCACGTATCTTATGACAGGACAGATCAGACTGAAGACTGATTTAGTCAGAATTAATTGCATATGTAATTAAGCACTCTATCTTAATGTGTGCACTTCATAAGTCTACATCAAAGTTACTGCAGCTCCAAGGGCCGAAGTATCAGCTCTAACAGTCGGCTCAGCTCAGCCACACAAAAGAGGTAGGAACATTCAGATGGTCCAGCTAACAGGGCCTGGGAGACTTGGGGAGGGGTGGGAGGGAAGATGCAGCCATACAGCTGGTTTGTAGAGCTTTGACAGGGCCATCACTGTATTCCCGGCACACACTCCTGCATCACACAAAGCATGGTTAGAAGATGATATTATCTTTGTTGCATCTCAACTACAAATGAGAACAGGTACCAACAGACTGCAGGATAGGAGGGAGGACAGTAGCTGTTTACTGTAAATGAAGATGCAGATGAAAGAGAGAAGCCTGTTAAATAAACCAATTTAGAGCCTCTGGGTTATACCGTTTTGACTGTTCTTTTGAAAACTGAGCTACATAATTCAGATCTGTAATAAATTTTGACTACAAACTTTCTCTTCCTGTTTTTAAAACAACTGGGCTTTATATTGGTTAATATAAAAACTGTTAAAGTTCGTGGTTATATAGAAAAAGAAATCAGAGCACTCAACTGGCAATTTGTATTTATCTAAGCCAGAATAAATGTTTATACAATATCTGCCAACATAACAGAATATACCCGCCACTTACTACATTAAACACAGTTACGTACAGCTTAATCAACTGAGTAGTAACTTAAGTAGACTTTAGAGGTAGACAGAATTTTATACTGTGAATAAAGCACAAAAAAGGTCTATTCTCTTTTCCAACAAAAGTGATTGCAAGGATTTACAATGAGCTTCCTGTTAGACTTGGAAAAAGGAAAAGAACCTCAGAAAATTCACAGTTAAAGTATTTGTATGTGAGAGCAACACAGCAACAGTAAAAGCCTCTAACACAGTGGGAAGCTGTTCCTTCAAATAATATTTAAGTGAATATATAAACATTAGTAGAGAAAGACTAACAACTTAGAACACAAAGATATACCCATAAAGATGCATGTTTTACCCAAAGGAAATAACCAGGGAAAGAATGCCACCCAGTTACAGAGCCCTGAACAGTATTTTAGAGGAAGTTTGCTGTAATTCCTGCATGTTATGTGTGAAATGTGCGCGTGTGTAGATGGATAAGCTACAATACCATCTGTACAGCAAGTACCACATATGTGAGCATTATGAATTATCAGGGCTGCTGCTATGCTCAACAGTAAATGTATTCTAAGCCACACACACATATAAATACAAATGACTTTACACGCTGAAGGCCGAATTTTGCTCGAATTACTCACAGGCTAATGCCTGTAACACAGACATAATCTTGACCAGAAGTGAGGAACAACTTCAAGATTAGAGGAAGGCCACCAATTTAAGACTAACACAGAGCTATATTCATGCGGATGCCCGCCGGAACCGCAAGATCTTCAACATATCAACCTAAAGCATACTTAATTGCATTTTCCAGCTTACAAGTCAGAGCACAACGAAAACCATCCAAAAACAAAAACCCTTTAAAATACGGGCATATCATCCACCTGGAAACATCCGTGTGACCTTTACTCGCCACCCAGCGATTACAACTAGCCCAGGAGGCTCCGAGCCCCTTCTACCCGCAGCCTGATTCGCTGCCCTCTCTCTTTCCGCAGCTCCCCCCGCTCCAAAAGTTTCTGGGCTCCACACCTGAACGCGGCGGGCGGCAGAAGGCGAGCAGCACCCGGCGCAGGGACGCTCCCAACCCGGCTCCCGGTTAGTTTCCATCCAGATCCGCCGGGAGCAGCCGTGCAGCTCCCTCTGCCTCCCAGCGCCCGCCCGCCGCCGCAGAGCCCCCAAACCACGCTCACCGTCCCTTCCCCACCCGCCCCGGGGCGCTTTCGCCGGGGACCAACCCGGCGGCCCGGCTCCGCTGCGGCTTCCCCGCTCCCGCAAGTGCTCCGGCTCGGCTCGGCTCGGCAGCGCCGCCGCGTACCTGCCGCTGCCCGCGGCCGCCGCCCGCCGGCGGGGCTGCCTGCTGCGGGGCTGCTTCTCCGCCCGCTGCCCCCGCCAGGCGCCCCCATCCCGGCGCTCCGCTCGCTACCGAGCCAGCACGGGGGAGGCGCGCCCCGCAGAGCCCTCCCCTTCCCGCCCAACCCGCCGCCGCTTTTTTTTTTTTAATTTTTCCTTTTTTTTTTTTTTTTTTCCCATTCCCTCCCCTTTCCCGTGTTTATTTTCACCCGCCCCGCGCCGCGCCCAGCCTCGGCTCCGCCTCCCGCCCCCGCCAACTTTCCGCTGCCCCCCGTCCCACCGCCGCCCTCACCGCCCCGGCGGATCTCCGTGCACTGCCGTGATGCGGTGGGCAGGCGGCAGCCCCGGCCCCAGCCCCGCCCTGGGCAGCACCGGGTGCGGCGCCGCTCCCGGCCGCCGCCCTCGCTCTGAGTCCTGGCCCCTTAACGCGCCGCCGCCGCTTCGTGAGGGAGCAGCGGGTGCGGGCTGCCGGGGCTCGGGGTGCAGAGAACTTGACGGGTGGTGGGGAGCGGCCAAGTGGGGAGCGTCCTTGAAATGACATCTTCAAGTGCCTGCCCCGAATCCCCGGAGAGGTTCCAGAAACAAAGGGTTTCATCCCAGAAATGAAGTCTGGGAAATAGCTGTCGCTCATTCGTTGTTGTTGTTGTTGTTGTTGTTATTATTACATTAAATTAATTAAGGCTTAAAGTGCCACGAAATATTTGGGAAGGAAAAGAAAAAAAAAAGGAATACTCACCAAACTCCATCATCTACACTTGTTTGATGGGAAAACGGAAAAATTCTGAGTAAAAGTAATTTGGAGGTTGTCTCTGAAGAAACGTCTCAGCCATTCACATGCTATCCCCAGGTTCCTGCCCCTGCATCCACCTGAGTGCATCCCGGGGCCTGGCCATTGCCTGCGTCCCCTTGCTCCCCGTGTTACTCCTGCCCTGAGAGACAAGGGCCTGATGCTCCCAGGTAGTTCTGGGGCCAATCCAGCTGGATTTTGCATGCATGCTATTCGCAGTGGGAGCGTTGCCTCTTGAGAACCGATTCATCTAAGCAAAGGCGCCAGGATTTGGCCCATAGTAAATTCTCTTTAGAGATGGTTCCAACACAATCTCTCAGCCATGGGAATAGGATGTTTTTGGCAACTCAGGCCCTTGGCTGTCTCTCTGATGTTTCCTAGTGGTGACAGGCTAAAGGCGAGATCATTATGGGCTTCCTTGCAGCAAACACAGCGTGGCTATGTTGTGCCCCAGGAGCTGCTGCCTGGTTAGAGGTGTAAAGATGGTATTTTCTCCTTCTCAGGAGCAGCCCTAATCTGAAGAGCATCACAATTTGCACAGCACATGGAAACAGGAGACCGTTCTATTGGTTGGGAATCAAATTGCAACCTGAGGATGCAAAAAGCTTAGAGCATGAATGTGCCTACCCCAACAAGGTTCCAGGTCAGAGTGCAGCTCTGGGGCCTCCCCATCGGCAGCCGAGCTCTCGGAGCAGATTTTCTGCTGCATGCGTTTATCAGAAGTGTGTATGCCAAGGTGTGAGCTGCCTGCACTGGGGCATTACAAATTTGGTATGTGCTTCTCTGATTTTTAAATCCCTGATGGTGGTGCCAGCCAGAAAAACTACACTCCTAGAGAGCCACCTGTATTTCCACTCAATCTAAACTGTGTAGCTGCTCAGCTGCCCCTGCCATGGGGCATGGGAAGTAGCACAGCCTGGGGCATCTGCTTGGGCTGTGGCTGCACGCTCCCTGCTGCTCCTTCAGCTTGTGCGAAGGGGCCTTTTCTCCCCACTGCACAGCCCAGCCACAACTGAAGGCTTCCTTCTACCGGGCTGAGAGCTTAACGCGTTTTAAATCTCCTTCTGCTGCAATTAGGCAGATGACATAATGTTGAGCATCAGATTGCCTTGCTGTGCGGCAAAGGGTTTCAGTTTCAAGTAGAGCATTTTGGAGGATTTTGGGGTAGTCAAGTGTAGATCTATCTACGTTGAAGTATTAAATATGGTATTTTATTATAGTTTCAAAATTTGCTGCATGGCTAGAAACCACTTTATGTAAGGATTTAAAGTATGTGCATTTACAATATGTGTGCAGTCAGGGAATTATACAGCCACAGGTTTTTAAACACCAATATATGCAGGTTCCTATTGATATGATAAACCATCAGTTACATGTGCTACAAAGCTTCTTAAATCCTCATTGACACAATAGACCACTATTGTGTCAATAGTGTGCAGATTAATGGGGTATTGTCAGGCTATTTTAGGCCTTAACTTTCATTTATCCTAAAACTTGTTCTTCATTGTAACTCTTAACCTTTGGATTCTGCCAACACATTTCTTGTCACAAATATATTAATGGAATTAAAAGAAACCTGGCTTTTAAATGTTAATTACCCTTACAATGATTGATTTGTAAAAGAAACACATCAGCAGAATCTAAAAGTACAGAGGCACAATCGAATGGACCAAGACCAAGAGCCAGGAATGCCTGAGGAGCAGCTCCGGCTCCGGTGAGACTGTCCCTGTGTACGAAATGGTAATGAGACCACTTACTCACCCTATCTCATAGGTATATCTTATGGATTATTCCTATTGTCTAAAGTATTTTTCACCCTCGAAGTGTTTTACAGACTTAAGCAACACTAATGCTCACGAATTTGAAAATGTAAGCAGAATATTCAAAATTTACATACAGATAAAAGAACCACCATCTGTTAGAAGAACAAATCGAGATTTTGCTTCATTAAAATATGGGTAATATGAAACTAATGTGTGTTTAAACCAGACATTTCATTCCACTTGAATTCCTCCATTAGTTTTATAACCAAGGTTGAATTGGGTTTAGGAAGCACAACCATTCATTAAAATCACTACATTGGCCACATGATTTGGTAAGAAAACGCAAGCCCACACACTGCGGGGCAGCTTGCACGTTTGGAAAACCGCCTTTGGGGTGCCACTGCCTAGGAAAGTTTTGCTGGAATGGCGCATCCCCCAAATGCTGAGGAAAATGGCATTGATGGTTTCTCTCTGCCTGAGCCAGAGCTGAATCAGTGACTCAGCACACTAGTGCATGGACGCGATGACTTCTGAATGAAATCTGAAACTTATATTTTCAGGACATGTTCATTTAAACTATGTCATTTCCAATAAAAACAGCAAATGTCAGTTACAGAAGAACAGTCAAATCACAGCAGTGCCAGGATGTGATGATGTTATATCATGACTCATTATACTTTAGCTAAATATTTTCCTCCTTCCTCCTGTTTCTTTCCTCCAAAAGGCACCACATTTCAACAGTGTGTACAGACATCTGCCTACTGCATGACAGTGTACAAAGTAATTGATAGGTAATTTACTATGGATTAGGTGTTTAATTTCTGGTGAAGCAGAAATGCGCAGTTTTTATGTTCGCTGTCCTTAAACTGAAGTTGCAAAGTGCAGATGTTACAACTTAACCTTGACTGTAATTAATTTTGATAATAAAAGAGAATAGAATTTATTTCTTATGAGTGCATGAAGTTAGCTGGACAATTTAAAGCTCTATTCAATGAGTAATGCTCTCACAGCAGGGGTAAATATTGGTCTGCCTGATAATATTAGTTTCTATTAACAACCTAGAAATGTTATTTTCATACAGCTCTGGTTTTATGTGCCTTAGTGCCTTCTCAACATCTGGGGAGCCACTGCACAGGGCAGGACAAGCTGGTATAGTATGTGAATAAATGTAGAAATTTTTCTAAAAAAGCAGGCTTTTAATCTCTACAGATTGGTGGAGAATCCTTTCAATTTTTTAAGAACATAAATAAAGAAATTAAGAAGCTCAAGCTATAACGTTTCACCGCTTATCACCAGAACAAGGTTAAACTGTGCCAGCTGAAGCTGATAGCTTGTTAAGGTATTCCACTATTAACTTGCTGAATGTATAATTACATGAGAACAATGCTCACACTATTTGTGGCTTTAGACTTTTGTCTCCACAAACCCTTACTGTAGGTATTGTCCTGTTTGTGGCCACTTATTCACCCCCATTGCCTATGGCATAGATCCCAAGAAAATGGGTCTTTAATCTGCCTGGAGACCATATTTAGATCCTACTCTCACTCAGTCACCATACACCTTGTTGTCTGGGTAAATATAGGTGGAAATCCCACTGTTTGGCTGGCAAAGCAGCAAAACAAAGCCAGCCATTTTCCTCCTCTGAGTCCTGAGCTTGCAGCAGTATCAATAGAGTCAGAAGTGAGACATTTCAGAACATTGTTGCTCATGATTTACACCAATTGGCTAAAAATAACGAATTGCTAATATAACAAGCCTGTGCTGTGTTGATACAGGTAAATGATTGGTTATAAGTCAAGTACTGTATAAAGAGTGGTAAGTGTAAAAAAAGATGTTGTACTTTTACCTCTGTAAATAGTATCCAATTCAGGTTGCACATTAGTAGAGTTCTTCGTAATGTTTGAAGGAAAGAAAATATTTTTCTCCTATTTTCCAAATGATGTGAAACCCCCTTTTTCACTCGTTAGCTCTCAGAAAATTATAGGAGGTACTTTTAAGTGATTAGCATTTTGTAAAATATAGGTAGCACAGAACAATTTCAACACTTTCTTTTAGCATCTTTTTGAGTACTGTGTTGAGAGTTGTTTTTAAAGTATTTCTGACTGTCAAAACCTCAATTTTAATATCATTGTTCTTTCTGTTTTATATCTTTCTAGCCTGCCTCCTCATTTAGAGAGATGTATAGAAACCTCAGGTTGTATGCCTGTCATCTTGAAGGTGTAGCGATGATTTTCTGCTAAGGCTGATGGGCTGTGCATCCTCAACTTGGCAACTTTACTCTGGTTCTGTGTTGTGTCAACATTTGTATATGCTTCCATGCCTGTCATTTATCTTTCTGGCTAGTATAAGAAATGGGTGCATGCTGCTATTCCATGCCCACCCATGATCATCAGACATCAGTTTGTCTTGAGAAGCACACCAAACACCATCTCTGTCTTGAATATTTAAGTGATGAATATAATAACTGCTCTTGGTTCTTACTGAGGCCAAAGTTGGAATGAAATCCAATCTGCTGGCTCTCCAATTCCACCATCTCCTCTAGGGAGGCAGAGGAGAAGTGCCAGTAATTAATAAAAATAATTGGAAAACATAATTTTTTTAATGCTTTGGAAGCACTGCATGGGTCAGCCAGTGGGGCTCGTGGGGGATCCTGCAGAGATGAAGCCAAGTCAGGAAAGGTCAAAAATTCCTCCCTGCTGAGGCCATGGGACTGGAAGCCTCAGCAAAGAAAAGCCATAGCCACAATGTTTGTAATGTCTTGTCCTGTGTATTTTACTACTTGAAATGTGCTTATAGTGAAATCTGGATGACTGTATGTCAAAGCTAATAAAAGGGATTCAAGCAGTGAACATAACCGGGCACAGTCTTGCTGTAAAACTGGTCTTTCCTGCCTGCAAGCTCTCTATCCACCTTAACTTTGAAAAGCAAGCTCTTTCAGGCCAACAATTCTGGCCATGGCACTTTCCTGCAAGGGTGAAGTGTGATTAATTCCTGGCCCTTGCTAAAGGATAACTTTTAGGAAAAAATAAAAATCCCTGACAGGGTGGGGCATTACAGGGCAGAGGGCTGGGAGTGGAAAAGCCCAGGATGGGGGCATTGCCACGGTGCCATTTGGGGCCAGGTGCAGAGTGGTATGTGCTGCAAACATCCCCAAATGTCTACAGCAACCACTGAAAGCAAGAAAACTCCATTTTCTGTACAGTGATTAGCTTTTCAGTTAGGTATATTACATCACCTATCATTTGATGGGGAATTCATTTCAAACATCTAAGGTAACATCAACAAAATACTGTAATTAGATTTAATGGCATGCTTCCAAGATTAATAGGCAATCTTCCTCACAGCCTACAATTTTAATTTCCAAAATTTCGTTTGTCATACAGCTACTCAGTCAGTATAGATTCACCATCTGCAGTGTTTACCTACACTTTTCCTCACTAGTAGTAAAATGTACTGCCTTTTTCAGGCACAGATTAAAAGACATATTAGTAACAAATCTATGCTTACAGTATATAATCACAAGATGACAAGACGCTTAATGTTATCTATTTAATTATATATAGCAATGTCTCTTACACAAAATCACTTTTCAATCCCATTTTAGGGGATTACCTAATCCTATAATTGATTCTGTGTGATGAATCCCCTTTGTCCTGTGGAGACCTAGTGACCTTCAGAACAGAAACAGGCCTGAAAACCTGCTATTATTTCACTGTTATTTATGTGTAAATTACCAGATATTGTAGGATGGGAACAGATTATAATTTTTTCCTTTTATTTACCTCACTGGTCTCAGACTTGAAGTGTTTTATGTCCTGGCTCAGAAGATACAGTATTCCCTATCAGTAAGAATGACCAGAGGCAAGATTGATGTTTTCTTTAAGGTAAATCAAATATTCTCCTAGAAATTTAGCCAATCATATAGGTTCCCAAGCAGCTCAGAGCTACAGTAAAACTAGTATCTACTGTAACTGTCATATCCCCTAACTTGCAGTTAGTGGGTGAGACAATTGCTTATTGGTTATAAATACCAGCAGATTAGTTTATCTATTGATTAGTATCACATTACTCATGCCAGAGTCCATAAAATCCAACATGAATCAGCTTGACTCCGTATACCAACAATCGCATCCTACACAAAGGTGAGTCCATACGTATCAGCTGATGACAGACGTGAATATTTTAATGTTACAGAAAACAAGCAATTAGCCATGTGTACATGTACAGACTCACACAGACACATCCACAGATGCACATAAACCTTGCTCCTTCACTGTCCTGCCAAATATAACTCCATGGATTAAAGCTTTACATATGACCCTAAGAATGTAATTTAGTACAGTCTGAATCCCCCTTGCGCAAGCCTGAGGTAGCTGCTTGGGCTGTCACAGCTAAGCAGCTGTCCAGCCTAACACTGACTCAGGAGCCAAAAACCTGCCTCATTTAGGTGACAGTGAAACAGTTGTAAAGGATCAGACAGACATTTTTCATGTTTGATGTGGGGAGGGTGCTCAGAAAATAGCTAATGCCAGTAATCACTAAAGATAGAAAGGTAAACAAACGGCTTGTAAATTTATATCTGCTTGAACTCTGAAATAAAACCTTGCCATATTTCTCTGATGCATTCCTATCCAGAGAGAGCATAGACTCTCATCCTAGGTTTGAAGAAAGATGATCAAACTATTTACTTTTACCTCTGTCATACATACAGAAAGTCCATGGCCCACACACAATCAGTAATGGCAGAAGCGGTTGCCTTTGGCATGCTAACCTGAGTTTCTGTTTAGTGTATTCCCCTTGACATCTCAGTAGCCAACTTTGTCCTAGAATATTTTGTTCTTGGACATAGGTGAATATTGTAATTTTTTTTTTCAACACTTATTGCCTTATCTAATATTACTGTTTGTTTAAAAATTGACTTCTAGCTCTATTGAACCATGGTGTTCCCTTCTATGTGCTAGCTGTGGGCTGCAAACTCCTTTCTGCTGAGTAGCCGTAGAAGAGCCATCCATGAAAGGTTTGCTCTGGTCTATTCTTTGCCTTACAGGTTAATGCAGAAGAAAAATTTCCACTTAGAGACAGTGAGTGAGTACAAACGAGATAAAGCACTTGTTTTTTGCCATATATGAAAGCTAAGAGGCAAAAGTGAGTGGAAGTGGCTTTGATCCTTTGGAGCTACTGCTACTCCTTCTCCCCCGTTGACATCTAAAATGGTGCACCACGTCCTAGAGCCACTCGTATTAGTGATCCTCAGACACATCTTACTACTTTTCTTTTGTAGCTGCAAGATGACAGACTTTTCACCTTTGAGGCGACAGTAGGTGACAAGGAGATAGATGGCCCATTTCATCTCCACATTGTTTCAGTGATCACAGTTTGCCAGCTGCTTGTATGACTCTGCATGTCGGACCACTAATCTTGAGTGATGCAAAGCTCCATGGAGTCTGAGGAAATACCATTGTCTGTGACAAGTCATGCAGCAAACAGGCATGCAAAGGAGCTGTCAGGCAGGAGGCTTGTGTTTGCAGGGGGTCAAAAGTGTAGAAAGCACTTTAGATCCAAGGCAGGGTAATATAGCAACAGCATCTATCCTATCCTAAAAAATCTCTTATTTGCAGCACATATTTGAAGAATTAACATAGCAAAAATATATAACAAAGAATCAACCAGTAACCATCAAGTTATTACTAAATCCTCTGGACAGTCCTTGACTTGAAAAAGCAGGCACAGGTAGGAATGCCAACACTGTTATCTAATGTGGATCAAAACCAAAACAAACAAACCAAAAAAACAAAAAACAACAACAAAAAAAAACAAAAAACAAAAAACAAACCAAAACAAAAAAAAGCCATGGCATCTCCATTCTTGGCAAAGAACAGAGACTGCTCTGTTACCTCTGCTGCTTGGAGTGAGGCAGTTGTGGATGCTGCAGCTGTTAGCTACAGACCTCCTCTCTTCTCTGTCTTTGTGGATAAGAGGAGGGCATGAAAAGTGATTCTCCATCTGGGAAGCAATGCAAGAAATAGTATTTGTGGCTCTAGCCAGAGTTTTCCAGCTCCTTTTATAGCTTTAACTCTTCTTAATTCGTTGCATAATGAGGTGCCATGATTTTAGCAGCCATGTTATAGAAAATAAATCATTTTGTAATAAAGTCTCCACTGTCCACTAGCCAAAGATAACTACATGTTACTCTCAGCTTTCCTATCAAAAGCTGATTTAGAGATGGATATTTTATCTGAGTACTTCAGATGCTGCCTCAATAGTTTCCTGTGTCCAGAAGAATCTCAATGACTCATTGTTTATTTTGCTCATGCATACTTTGTATGCTGGTGGAGAATGCCTAGTTGGTCCTTTCCCTGTCATCATTAGTCACATACTTCTATCAGGCCAAGAGCTCAACACTAAACCAGAGAAGGATGGAAAGCTCTCCACCTCCTCCTGTAGCCAGACCATCACAAACCACTCTCCGTAAGTTGTATGGGGGACCCAGCTGCAAGGAGCACAACCTTAAGTGGCATCCTGCCACCTGGCATGTCCCCCTGCATGTCCTGGGGACTGAGCACACTGCCAGATATGATGGCACTTTGTCCTGGCACAGTGATGAAGAAGGGAGTGGAGTTGTGGGAAGACAGTAGAGGCACTGGGGAGAGGAGGCAGACTGCCCAGTGCTCATCCAGGTGAGAGGGATGGGTATTTGTAAATGGCCTGGTCAACAGCATCCCTTGAGAGTGGATCAGAACCACAGCCAAGCTCAGACTCCTATCACATCACTACCAGGACTCAAGCTCAGATGAGCTTTGGACTTGTTGAAAGAGGCATGTTAGGCCATATTAGTCCTTACTACCGACCCAAGCAAGTAGCTATCTGCAAGGTGGATTGTATATCATTTCTGTCCATCAGTAATGTCATGGGGGTGATGTCAGGCTGGCAATTTAGATTGAAAATCCTTCCTAGAAGGATCGGGGTATCATGTGTGCATGTGTTCCTGGGTTTGTTGGCCATCTGGGCTGCTCTTAAAGCCATGTGGTTTTACACCCTGCCCACGTTTCAGGCATTCTGTATCCATAAAGCCACAAGGGAGAACTGCTTGCATTACCTTGCTCTGTGATCTACACCCCTTCAGGGAGTTTTGACAGCCAAAGTCTGTGTTTTCCCTAGGATCTTCAAAACACTTTCAAAAAGACCTGATGATGAAGAGTCTGTTGATTTTTGTTCAGATTGCCTGAAGATCCCTCTTTTCTCTCAGTTGCCAAAGGAAAAAATGTGAACTATATTCCTCAAATGTCATCCCGGGGAGCCAACACTCAAACTCTTCCTCACATATAAAATGTCCTGGCAGGATTACCATATAATATCCATTGCAGCAGTGGAAAATATCAAAGGATCATGCTTCAAAATTAAACAAAAAAACACTCTTTCTTGTCTCAAAAGCAGTATACTGTTCCTCTTCTTCCTTTTCCTTTCCCACCTTCAAACTACCATGCACTTTGGTACTGTAGGATTAAGTAGCCACAATAAACAAGCCCGTGTGAAGCCAGCAAGTCCAAATGGAAGCAATCACTTCTGCTACTGTAGCAAATGAGATTTTTTTTTTTTTCAGCTGACTAATAGAAACTGATTTAGGCCCTTTGCACTTGCTGCCAGCAAGTGTTCCCACTCCAAAAATAGCCTATTGAAGAAAGAAGTGTCAGTTGCTGTCTTCAGCAGGCTGCTTTTCTAAACCCATTGTTAGAAGGCACCTACTTCAAATGAAACCTGGCATATCACCACGTCAGTGGGCAAAGTGCCATTCCAACAGATTGGGCAATGGCTAGGCAGTGCCAGTGATTCAGTCTGTATATCAACCTTGAGTAACAAGGTTGTATTCCCACCTGAGAACATCAAAACCTGTAGCTGCACTCTACCATAACCTGTGTCCTCACATGTGTTGCTGTCCAGCCACACTTACAGAGTATTTTAGATGTTTCTATTTGTTTTTAAGACCATACGGTTCTGCTTGACTGGGCACTGGCTTTACATTTGGATGCAGTGAAGGTGTAGGTAGGCCCGTTTGGGTCATGCTCGCCTTCCAGTGCTTTTTCCTCCTTGCGGCATCCTGGCAAATACGTGGCAAAGCACTTCAGCATGTAATCCTGGCAAAAACCTCAGAAGAACCTCAACAGCTGTATGTGCAGTGAGAAAACACAAGGAGGTTATCTCTAGCTTGGGCTGTAGGAGTACAGCGCA